CCAGCACTTTAGGAGGCTGAGGCGGGTGGATCACCCGAGGTCAGGAGTTCGAGACCAGTCTGGTCAACATCGTGAAACCCCATCTCTACTAAAAATACAAAAATTAGCTGGGTGTGGTGGCAGGCGCCTGCAATCTCAGCTACTCCAGAGGCTGGGGCAAAAGAATCACTTGAACCTGGAGGCGGAGGTTGCAGTGAGCTGAGATTGTGCCATCACACTCCAGCCTGGGGGACAAGAGCGAGACTTCATCTCAAAATAAATAAATAAATAAATAAAAGAACTACGCATGCCCTGACTGCTTGACAACTGGCAATTTACTGTCAAACAGGCATTTATACTTTGTAGCCTCTTCCATTTAACAAGGGGTGAGATGGGGGCTAGCACTAATAGTTTACAATACTTAGGATTATTTTTTGAGATAGGGTCTCACTTTCTCACCAGACTGGAGTGTGGTGGTGTGATTACAGCTCATTGCAGCCTCAACCTCTTGCCTCCTGGGCTCAAGTAATCCTCCTTCCTCCGCCTTACTATTAGCTGGGTCTATAGGCGTACATCACCATGCCTGGTCAATTTTCTTTTTTACTTGGAGAGATAGAGTCTCACTATGTTGCCCAGGCTGGTCTCAAATTCCTGGGGTTCATGTGATCCTGCCTTGGCCCCACAAATTGCTGGGATTACAGGCATAAACCACCATGTCCAGCTCTTATTCCTAGGATTTAAACAACTAGTATTCATAAAAAAATGTTTACTTCAGTTTCTTGGCCACTTGGCCACATTTATACAATGAGCAGGAACCAGCTTTTTAAATCATGGTAGTGAGTTTGGTGGAAAACCTTATCTCCAAATGCCAATGCATTAAAAATAAAGATATCACTCTGTTTGACTCTTTGGTTGTTCAGTGCCATATGTCTTCCAAAAGACCCTACCTTGATGTCTACAAAATTCTCTGGGCAGTATTTTTCAATTTCTGCTTCAAAGAGGACAAGAGGGTTGCAGCTCTGCCTAGAAAAGACATGAAAACAGAGTTCCAACTCAGTACATGACAGAGAGCCCTCCAATCTAATGACAGCAAACTGTTCCAATGGGTTCATGGTGTATCCCCAAAAGAAAAGGTCCCGGTGAACTGAAAGCAAGGCTATGATCCTCTGCATGACACACTGTCCACTTCTCCACAAGTGTGAACAGGACAGATAAGATGGCATTCTGGAGCCCTTTTATAGGTAAATGCAATCCAATGGCTGCATGAAAAAGGCCTGGCAATTTTGAGGGAACACCAAAAGTGACTGTTTAAAGATTTAATAAAAATTCACAATGGATCAGATAATCCTAGGTCATCTTAGTATTATAAATTACTGCTGGGTGCGGTGGCTCATACCTGCAATCCCAGCATGCTGGGAGGCCAAGGCAGGTAGATCACGAGGTCAGGAGATCAAGACCAGCCTGGCTAACAGGGTGAAACCCCGTCTCTAACAAAAATACAAAAAATTAGCTGGCATGGTGGCGGGCGCCTGTAGTCCCAGCTACTCGGGAGGCTGAGGCAGGAGAATTGCTTGAACCCAGGAGGCAGAGGTTGCAATGAGTCGAGATTGCACCACTGCATTCCAGCCTGGGTGACAGAACAAGATTCCGTCTAAAAAAATAACTAAAATAAATAAATAAACAAATAAATAAATAAATTACCGAGACACAGTGGCTTACGCCTGTAATCCTAGCACTTTGGGAGGCAAAAGAAGGCAAACCCCGCCTTGTTTGAGACCAGCCTGGTCAACATGGTGAAACTCTGTCTCTACCAAAAATACAAAATTTAGCCAGGTGTGGTGGTGCGTGCCTGTAGTCCCAGCTACTCGGGAGGGTGAGGCAGGAGAATCACTCGAACCTGGGAGGCAGAGGTTGCCATGAGCCAAGATCATGCCACTGTGCCCCAGCTTGGAAGACAGAGTCTCACTCTGAGACTTTGTCTCAAAAAAAAAAAAAAAAAAAATTACCCAGTAAGATCAACATGCCTCAAAAGTGCTCTGAAATTTCACAACTTACTATAATCTGAAAGTTCTTCTTTTGAGAATTGTACTGACCATTTTCGAAACTGCATCCGGAAATCATGAGCCAGTAAATGTCCAGAAACCGAAGTCATTACCATGGTAACATTCTGAATGATGACAAAATTCAAAATTCAGTTAGTCTTTTTACAGTTATTATTTTGCCAAGTCATTCAAATGAGAGGGAGGAGCTTCTATTAAAGACATTTTAAAAAACCTGATTGGGAAAAAATAAACATAAATACAAGGTCTTCAAAGTCAAAAGCCATAGGAATACAATCACCATTCCAATTCTAGTACCACGACGCCTCTTGCATTAGTTCAATTTTCCTCAAACTATTGTATATTAGCTTTTTTTTTCTTTTTTGTAATGAAGAGCTGAGATGGGACCATATTTTATTAAAGAGACTTCCTCATAAATTATAAAGTGATCACCTGTAACCAGGAACGTTTAGGTTGTTAACAGCTGTTATTCTTAAGACAGTGACATATTCTACATATGACTAGGCTGACTACTTTCTCTTGCTTATGATGAAAATATTTTAGCACCTACCTGGCCATACAGGTGATAATCAAATTCATAGATCTTGTTGAATTTTGAAAGTCCTTCTCTCTATAAAACAAAAATACGTAAAAAATATAAATTATGTTCAAAATAACAGATTCCTCTGTATAATTCTTCCTGATTCTGAATTTGGCAATGATTCCTTGGTTATGACACCAAAAATACAACAAACATTGCTCCAAAGAAGATAAGAAATGGCCAACAAGCATATGAAAAGATGCTCAATATTATTAATCATTAGGAAAACACAAATCAAAACCATGATGAGATACCACTCCACACCCATTAGGATGATAACGAAATAGAATTTAAAAACAAACAAGTAAAACAACAAGTGTTGTTGAGGATGGGGAGAAATTGGACATTGCCAGTGGAAATGTAAAATGCTTTGGCCACTCTGGAAAATTTTGGTGTTTCCTCAAAAAGTTAAACATAGAGTTAT